TTTAAAAAAAGAACAATTATCTATTAAGTTGACAAAAGTAGTCAACAAGATACTTGCCTTCAGGGAGCTCTTTGGAGCTAGGATACTTAAACATAGAAATGCTAGAAAAGAAATGGAGGTCAGTGTATAAGACTTGAGAAAGGCCATTTCTAATTGTGGCTTCCTCCTAGGTGAGATGAGTCCCAGAGTTCAATGGATAGGTGACTGGAAACCACAGGATCATAGATTGTTGTTACTTTATGCTGAATATTAGAATGATCGCACCTTATAAAGATCAATGCGCATTTTAATCCCAATTATATTTTTACAAATACACCTCTCACACACAGACATACATACATTGGATAAGAAAGACTCAAAATATTAACAGTGCATATCTTTGGGGTTATGGGATTATGATTATGGATGATTGCTTGATTTTATATTTTTGCTTAATTTCTGAAGTTTCTACAGTGTGCATGTATAACTTTTATAATCAGAAAAATGTTATATTGCAACTTGATTGTTTCCTATGTTTGTGTAGCTGTTTCAGTGACGTAGTCCTTATCCTTTTTAATGGTTTGAACCCTGTGCAGCAAAGATTCACTACAGTAGAATTGGATTACAATCTAGAAAAGAAAAAGACCTGTTCTTCTTTTCCCTCATGGGATCAAGGACTACATGAATGCACTGCAGTAGTTTTCCTGATTGTCAGAGTGCAAAAGGAAGGCTTTCTTGTTTTTGGTTTTCTTTCTTCTTTCTCCATATCAATAGAATTTTGCTTCCCAAAGCTGGGAGCCTAGACAATATTTTTTTTCTACTATATTTTTGTTGTTGGCAAATAATTGGGGGTTTTTATTGGTGCTTTCTGATGAAATAACAGATGATCTTTGTTTCCCCCTCTTTTTCCTCAGCTGACCTGAACAATGTGAGGTTCTCTGCTTATAGGACTGCTATGAAACTCCGAAGACTGCAGAAGGCCCTTTGCTGTAAGTATGAACCAGTACTTATTTGCTTACAGAAAAAGTGGGTTGAGGGTATTTTCACCTGGAAATGGGAGAAATAGCTGTCATAAGATCAGTTGCAACATGCAATTCATTCTTTAAAGTATCTTTGGCTTGTGTTTGCCTTGACCACTTTCTTACATTGTTTAGAATCAGTCCTGTCCTTACTGTTTAGCTACTGATGTTGAATTGATAGGATATCTATCATTTTGATTTTGTAACTAATGGTTTTGGTCTTAATATTTATGAATGTTAAATTATCTCCCTCTATTCTACCTTTTGGGGGGAGATCTGGTAGCATAGTGGCTAAGGCTCTTGACTGCTAACCAGAAGGCTGGCGGTTCAAACCCACCAGCCACTCCTCAGAAGGAAGGTTGGGCAATCCTACTTCCGTAGTGATACTGCCTC